TTTAATATGGAAACGTGGTGACGATATTAAACTGATTGCCGTTTCTAGATCGATAGGTATAAAAAATACGAATATGTTTGGTAAACTGTTCAGCTTCTATGGAGTATCCGATGATTCGATCGACATTAAACTTGTGGAGATAGAATTCGCCATGACGAAAGTTGAATCCTTGTTTAACAATTTCGTAGTCTAAGCTATCCTGAAACATGAGGTCTGTCAAAGGAAGAAACGCCTTGGTGAAATCAAAATCGCGGGTAAAGTGGGACTTTCTTTGTTTATACATCTCGCAGTGGGGATATTTGTTAATATGATTGGCACTCCATAAGGACGGGAATGCGGACTCCCGTTTCAGGAAGAACAGCGTGGAAATCATTGATTGTTTCAAGAATTGCTTCTTTGGCCATGTTTGGGATAAAGTGAGTAAAACCTTTAAGAATTTTCAAACCATCGTATGTAAATTCGTGCAAGTTGAAATTTTTTGATACATGGCGCAGAGCGCGTCCTATATAATTTCGCACTCCATAAGGATGGCAACGCGGACTCCTGTTTCAGGAAGAACAACGTGGAAATCAGTGGTTTCAAGAATTGCTTGTTTGGGATAAAGTGAGTAAAACCTTTAAGAAGTTTTGAACCATCGTATGTAAATTCGCGCAGGTTGAAATTTTTTGATACACGGCGCGGAGCACGTCCTAAATAAATTCGCGCAATATTCAGTCTTTCATCCACCGCGCGTTCACGTCCACCTGTTGTGTACAGTCTGAATAAAAATAAAAAAATAAGCATTACCATATTCAAATAAATGAATGAATAAATAAATAATAATAACAATCAAATGGTATGCAATCTAATTACTCTTAAGGTAAGCGAGAAAAACTTTAAAACAAGAACAGTAGTTATTATAACATACTTAAATGTTGTAGAAATGGACTGCAATTGATCCTCGATGACTGCAATCACTTGAGGTACAGCACCACGTCGGTTAACTTGCCTCTGCCTTCCCATCTTTGTTCCTCACCATCTTAAATTGATGTTGATGAATGTGTCCTGTCGGATCGTTGATGTTGTCTGACATGCATGTTTTGACATCGAACATTTGTTGTTACATTTTTTGAACTTTTGTTACATTTTCCAGTTCCTCGACCAGGAACCGATCGGATAAGCCAGTATGATCTCACGCTTTTAAAACACGGTAATAAATTGTGTTTGGCCGTCGGCAACATAATTGCCTCCTCCTTTTCTGAACAGACCTACTAAGGTACATTCCCTGACAGTAACTTCGTCTTCTGCATATAAAATAAAGCGAGAACGAATACAAGAGAAATCATTCAACATGGTTCGTCCCCGACCAGTTTTGAAAACTGCAACGGCTATCTTGCGGAGAAGTGACCTATAAATTCCTGGTTCAATTTCACAGTGAAAAGAAATGTCACGCTTAGAAAGAATGTTCAGCTAGTAAATAACACAAGTGAAAACACAGCCTATAATAGTCAGCTATTTTATCCAGTTTTTGACTAGGGCCATATTTTGTCAGTGGTGCCTTTTCATAATTTCGTTTCCGGCACAAATGTTGTTATAACGTAACAAACCATCCGGCTGCCGGCTGCCGGCTGCCGGCTGTTATTCCTTTCCGTTGCCATTTGTGGGTATTGATCAATACTGTATTCGCACCGACAACTAACTCTGTCTATCCAGAAACAACATAGTATTATTGAAGACTAAGACATTGGCCTTATGCACTCGTTTGCTCCCGTTGGCTTGTATCGCACTGAGAGGTCATGGCACGCATGTTAATATTCTGTGGTTTTGTTCCTGGTCGGCAAGATTTGCCCTCGGATGCAAGAGCATAAGAGTAAAAGTTTTAATAAGTATCAGGGTTTACGTTTCTATAATTTCCTCCAAAGTTTCTTCTGGATCTGATATAACTAAGCGATTTACTTTGGTCCGTGAATTTGATGGTTTAATATAGGCGCATGCCATTATCAAGGTCAAAATGGTAAAATTAAAAGGCGTTCTTACCTGCTGGACATACTCTTAATGACAAGGATGCACTAAAAATGGAACACAGAAAGCAAATGGAAGGCAGTTGGTATCATAAAGTAACGTACTAAAACTTGCCACAAGGCATTTAGATGAAAGCAAGAGACAGTGGAAAGATTACTTACCTAAAAATCAGCAGAATTGGGATGTAGAAAAACCGTAACATTCAGCATTCATACACAACGAACGTTACTCCTCAGATGGCATTCCGCGTACCCCGTGCAATAAATAATAGGCGTCATAATAGGAATTGCCTGTCTAAGTCTCAAAATTGACACCATAACAAAAGAGAGGGATGGTTTACAAAGAAATTGCATTGTTTGCTGACAAAGTTTTAATGACTGACGTATTCAGTTTGTACACGATCTTTGGTGCTTTATTTTAAATACACGTGCTCGACTTCGCAGTAGCCTGCGCGCGGTGCACCCTAGTTGTCACTCAAAGCCAACGCTATCTTTGAACTTTCCTAACTAGCTGTCATTTTCCTTCTCCAGCCCAAAAATAACTGGCAACTAAATTAGCCAGAGCACATTCTTAAAAGCCGCAGGAAGCCAGAGGCGATAGGGATATGTTTTTTTCCAGCCAGCATCGGCATTCGAAAATGAAAAACCACAGCCAGAAAAGCGTTTCGGCAAAGTTCCCAGCAAGAGTTTCTTATCGTTTATTTAGTTACCAGGCAGCAAATTCTTAGCCTGAGGAGCGGATAATTTGAGGAGCGGATCTGTTGGGTACTCCTGAGTACGTAGGTAATCCCGACAGGTAAAGGCGCCTGCAAAGTAAAATGAGAGTTTAAGTGTCGCATTGTTCAATATGGCGAATGGCAAATTTGAAGCCTTTGACCTTGAGACAATTTAAACGTGAATTTACTAGACATTTCCACCAAGAAAACCTGGCCTATTTGACTAAATAAGTTTCAAAATCCGGAAATTTGGAAACGAAATTGGAAATTGCCGCGTTTGGCCAATTGGCCAAGGCCATTACATTACAAAAAAAAAAGACTCACTTGATTGTGGAGATAAAACCAACTGGACCCGAATTTTCTTCTTACAAAGCTTTTGATGGCTTTCAGTTTCCTTTAATTGGTAGCCCCCCACGTTTTTTGGTATGAAAAACGAGCTCCCCTAAAAATGCCTGCGTGTGAGGCTATGTGATTGGCAGCAGGCGGAGATTTTGCTAAAGTTGTTTAACTGATTACAGCGGCGACCTTTTTTGTACAGATTACCGGGTTGGAGGAATATCATCACCCCTTGTCTTGTTTTCTTTAATTTCGAGATTTGTTTTTTGATTTAAAAGGAAAAATCTTTTGGTTTCTTGTGTCATGTTTGATTTCTTAGTTAACGTTTGGTCTCCGAAATTGCTAAGTGAACACGGTACCAGATTCCTACTGCAAAGAAAGCAACGGAAGGCCTACTTTTTTTTTTTCTTCAAATAATTTATTTACAGATCACTAGAAAGTAGTTACAATCAAGTGTAGTTGAAAAAATTAAGGATATACGATAGGGTGGGGCTGGGTTGGTGGCACGCGGTCACTAGGACTCAGGCCCCCAAGTCACTGAAATTGCACGTGTAAGAAATAAGATCGATGGACCGAGGTTTTGGCGGCCCGGTAGAGTTCCAATATATGCCGCCTACTTCCTCGGAGATAATAATAATTATCGCGATTTAGTTGGTTAATTACAATGATTAAACTAAGCCGAGATTTTGGCGGCCCTGTAAAGTTCTGTGATATGCCGCCTACTTTCTCGGGAAATTCCTAAGTACTACTGGACTTGAAAAGTCCTAATATTGTAGAGGAATGTTGAGTGTAACTAAGGAGGGTGGGTCCCCGGAGCAGGGAGGGCCCCGTGAGCGAAAGGTACTGCCAGGCCCGCCCTACTCCCCGGAGCCTGGTAACTAAATAAGGACCTGAAGGGTCTGATTTTCGATTTTACATAAGACCTGCTTGTGGCCCCACGTCTTTTTGAAAACAGGAATATTATTAAAATTATAAGCGGCACGGATCCGCTGCCGCAGGCGATGCTTTACTTTGCGAATTGTAGCTGAGGCCGGCTGCTGCAAGTTTTCGAAAGTCGCTAGATTCCTAGCCGCCCAGATCTCGTTCAGAGTGACGTTAATAATTACATGCACAAGAGCAATGGAGTGCTTATCGCCGGTAGGCAAGCCGTGTTTGAACAAGATCGAGGGCGGCGAGGGAGCCAGCGTTATAGAGAAAAATTTATTAATTAGTGTAAAAGCCCACAGCCAGACTTGAGGTACGGAGGTACACTCGCATAAGGCATGAGAGAAGGATTCAAGCTTCCCACACCGAGCACATCGGTCGCTAACTTTGAGCTGACACCAGTTCTTAAGATATGCCCGGGTTTTTAAAACGCCGTGTGCAATACGCCACGCGATATCCGGTTCCCAGCTCGTACTCAGACCACCATAAATATGAGACCAAATAGAGGGCCAGGGTAGAGGGGTATGTAAACGCTTCTCCCAGGCCCCTGCGGTAGGTAGGCGCCCAGGGGAGGGGTAAGTGAGTTTCTCGTAGAAGGTTTTAACTCTGTAATTCGGTAACAGGGTAAGGTCGACGTTCAGTCGGTCTACCGCTGTTAAGATGTGTGTGAAATATTTAGGAGGGGAATCTCCAATATATTTAGGACACGCGTTCGATCTGAGAAAAGCCCAGCTCGGAACCTTACGGCTCAGAGCGAGGCCGATCCAGTAATGGGCGAAGAAAACCCAGTTAGACGTACACGACGGATCGCCTATCTGGGGTACCCAGCATAATTTTAAGGCTCTCGCTTTTTCACTAGGATTAATGACCGCTAGTCCGCCTCTGTCAACAAGAAGACAATTGCAACAAAATAAACTTTGGAATTAAAGCATCGAGGTTTTTCGAGTAAAGACTTATAATTTCATTTTTGTGATTCTTGTCTATGGAACCTCTATAACTTAAAATAGAAAGGAATATGAAGTTATTAACTTACCACTTTCTTTGTCTTCAACTGTCGACGTTGAACATGCTGAAGTTTCTCCAGTTTCTCCAGCTGTTCGTGGAAAGAAAAGAGATGGTAAAAATTAAGCTTTAATTCAAGAAAGGTTTACAATGCTAAACACAAAACGTCAGCACTATATTCACATTCCTCTATGGAACCTCTATGACTTCCGAGAGAAAGGATTATCAAGTTGGTAAATTACCGTTTTCAGTTTTTTTTGAAGCTGTTAATAAGAGGGAAAGAGACAAACTGTATAAAGTTATATTGATAGCAAAAATAACGGCAAAGAGTGTTTTACTTGCGTTAAATCAGATTATTGTAATAGTATGAACAACATAAACTGGAATATAAAATAAAATTAACACAATTGACTATTTTCAAAGGTACGACAGCTGTTGTGCTGGTTATGAATGACCTGATTAGCACTCCTGATATCAAAGCATCAGATGGTTAATAGACTCATTCGTGGTGTTCTCTTGATGGCTAATGCTAATGTAGAATTACAGATCAGGTGGATAGGGGCTCTTAAACCAGAGCTGCACACAAGCAACCGCAACCTTTGTGCCCCATCCATCCCATTAAAACTGAGCTATTTGGGTACACAATAAAGGATATGACTGATACCAATCGTACCACTTTAAAGAAAAGCAAGTGTTCAAAGCCTAGTTTGAAAAGATCTAGGAATGGTGGCTTTTCAGACAGGTCCCAAGGCAGGTAGAGGAGTGAGATTACTTACTCTGGGCCACCAAAAAACTACCATCGCCTCCTCTCAACAAGAAAGGGGGAAACACTAACAACAAGAACCAGAACCGAGTCATGACCAGAATGTTAAGGTAGGGGACAGAAAATTGCAAGTTGCTGGCAGGCTTAAATATTTTCTATGTTCTTGGAAAACCATTACCTCAGACTCTAAAATTCTTGACATGGTTGAACAAAACCCATCTTGAGTTTGTTACAGCCCCCTACCAACAATAGCCCATGCCTACCATTTGATTCAATTCTCAATAGGCTGCAATAATTGATGGAAAGGTACAACTAGAAGTTGTCATTGAGAAAGGAAGTGCTGCTGTTAGTTGGAATTCGAATAGGCCAAAGACAGTATGTACGCCAGTTGAAGAGGTGTATTTTTTTATGAACGTTACTAAATGACACTTGTTGGAGATATTAAATTTGAACTGACCTAGCCTTGTGATAAGTAGTTTAATGTTGTTAGTGTAAGTGAGAAGTTCATCTTTAACTAACTCAACTTTCGGTGACATCAGTCATAGCATTTCAGGAAAACAGCTGTGTGATTACTTGGTCCAAAAGTATAAGGGAGAGCTTTTCCCTTTTTGGTTTGGTGAGGAAAAATAGTTGAACATAATACTGAGCAGGACAGAAGTCTTTCATCTGCTGCATATTACAATAAAATATTATTACGAGTTATTATATCTGACTTGTTCTCATTCTCAATCTTCTTATTACACTTAACACAAGCAACATAAATGGATGGGGGAGTAACTCAGTTAATCTGGGAGCGAAGGCTAAAACGTCAGTATGTGGCTCTGTTGGCCTTATGAAAGTACCTGTTTTGGCAGTATTTATGTATAGTTGCTTAAAGTTATTGTTGTTGATTCATTATCAGTATCATAGTTCAAAACTGAACATGGGCTTAAAGAGGGAGGTAAACTAAATGTTGGGTTGGGTAATTTTGGTGACTACTTTGGTTTTCTTGTTATATGTCACCACTATGTCTTTGAAGCTCAGAAATATCTTAACTAAGTCAAATTTCCGCAATGACATTTTCCATGGAGGATTAGGACATTTTCTATTGAATTCCATGGAAAAGTTCCATGCAATTCCATAGAAACTACTCCACCGATTATTCCATGGCTCTCCGGGGAGTTTCATGGAATTCACAGGAATTAGACATTTAAAATATCCAGTGAATCAAATGGAATACATAACAGATTTTGGTCCACTGCAATTTATTTAACCAAGAAAAGGACCGCATAAATCTCGTTTTAAAGATATCAATCAAAAATTAACATGCTTTTGGCGGAAAATTTGACATACTGTAGCTTAACAAATTAATGTTTACTTGTGACTATATACATTGCAGTTTAGAATGCAACAATCATATTGAAGTAGCTTAAATAAAACATTTAGATTTAATATAAAGCAAGGAATCTTAGCCTGGTGTTTAAGAAAAGTAACATGCGAACAGATGCATAATTGAGAGAAAAAAATAAGCTAATACTTGAATGCATAAACCGTCAGTATGTAAGACTTAAACATGACTTTAATTAATGCGACGAAAAAGGGAAGTGCTACTTATTTCCTGGATCAGAACCACCATGGTATTTAGTTATAGCAAAGTCCTACCTAATCCTTGGGAAAAAACGGCGTCAGACACAATAATAATTTATCAGTCTCTTGTATAGTTTTTACGTAGCAGGCATGAAAAATTCTAAATATGACATTTCTTCTTATACATTGATGC